TGACACTCATTTTTCGACGCCAGCGCAATTTAAACGATCTTCTAAGGTGAGCGCGACAGTAGTAGTGATTCCCTTCTCGCCGGGCGCAGCCTTAGCGGAGCGCAGATGATCAGAGTGCCCGATTGAGCGCCGACGCCAAGTATGAATTTCATCGTGATCCGAATGTCAACCCCCGTATGCAAATTTTCATTGATTTTCGGGAAAGGTGGTGGTGCCAAACTGGCGCCTGTTGGCGGCGAACGGCGCCAGCGTCAGGTATGATTATCATATTCAGCGATCAGGGCACTAAATGAGTCGCTGTAAGCAGAGTATCAGCCAAATGGTAAACTATGTAAATACTTGCAACATAATACTAGTTGTTTAATTCCGAGAAATTTGAGTCACAGCTACTCGTTTGCGTTTGGTGGAGCATGTGCCTTTCGCACTACCCTCTTGCGGGTCCGCTCTTATCACCAAGCCATTTAAAAACAGCTGATACTTCTATTGATGAGGCCTTTGCTTGCCTGCTAAAATTTACTTTCAGGTCGCTAACATAGTGCCAGTTGGTGGCCAAGACATCTGGAATCGTGAGTCACATGAAGCTGTGCGAGAGTTTTTCGAAGCCAGCATGGGGGAAACCGTTATGGTGAGCTTTGGAATGGCACAATTCAATTTAACATTCCTGTTATTATGGCAAAAACCGCGGTTGTTGCTGGTTCCGTAACTATTTGACCAGAATGGTTAGGAGAAGGTCCAACAGACAGTCAATAGATGTAAAAATAGCCATATTCGCAGTTAGCTATGAAAATAAATAGAAACAATTTGGGACCCCTTCTCATTTATTAAAACAATTAGAAACACTTTGGGACCTCTTCTCATATGCTCTTTTTCTGTACTTTCGTTTCAAAGTATAAACGTTATATCAGTCAAATTTTCTAGACCAAGTGACCGAGTCAAACAAGCAGCCCAAATAAGGATTATGGATGTGACCGTCCCAAAGCAAATCTTAAAACTTTTTGATTTTCCCAGTATTTCAGCTGAGTGAGTTATTACAGTACAGTACAGATGATTTTCTGTAATTAAGGTGACTCCAGTGCCAAATGGATGTGGTGTTTGGAAACAACTGAACGCTCCAGCTGTTCCATTTGTGACTGCGAGTATTTCATGTTGCGGTCGTGACTTGGCAGACTGGCTCATCTCCCATCGTTTAGCTCTTCCAGGACCGAATTGACTCGTTACTCTTTATCTCTGCAGCTGTTTTTCATTCTTGCCCATGACGTTCAAAATGCAAGACAATTTTTTTCTATGTGGTAGTGTTGTACATTTTTCTTTGATACTGTATTTGCATAATATTTTGCAATAATGTGATATCTCTAAATACAATATTTTGGTAATTTTAACTTTCTGTGATATTTTTTCCATTTCCTCGTTCTTATTGAGCTTAACCTCCAGCACCTTACTTGAGGTCTCCCTTACGAGAAAATACTCTTGTTTGTTCGTTGGAGAGTATTGTTTGCCTTATTAACTTTGCTCCTAAATCTAGCAGCTTTGCCTTACATCGCCTTACATCCTCTTTATGAATCAAAACTTTTAACTGATCGATATAAGTGAAAGGAGATGTAGGATAGGGAAAACATTGCTTCTGCTGATGACTGCTTAGCAACTAGTTATGGAATTTATTTTTTTATATAGAGGTTTTATTTGGTGCTGCAATAATGTCTATTTTCGCTCATTTTTCCTTACATAGTATAATATTAACAATATGTAAATATAGCGCCGCATGCACCTACAAAGAGCTCATTTTATGGAAGTAACAAACCTGTGATATCCTGAGTTCAACTCACAAAGCGTGCCTTGTACTCATTGGCCAGTGTCGTTAAGATTATTATATTTGCTTGTAGTTTGTTGTTTTATGTATAATGTGTTAATTTAGAGTTTAGCGTGCAAAATGTCAACAAAGATTTTTAAACATTTGTGGTTACGCTCTGTCAGCTTAAAGCAGTATGCTCTTTTACCTCAACTTTTTTTTTCTGTGAAGGGTTATCAAAGGAAATATAGTCGTGTTCGCTGGAGATGAGGGGGCGTGTTGAGACTGGGTTTGGGGCGTTCAACGTTCAACGTAAACGACTGGAGTGGAGCGCGGACGGGATTGATCGGCGAGACCCGATATTCAGACAACTATTCGTTTTTTTTCAGTTGGACTTTTTCTTCTTCTGCAGGCTTGGGCCAACAGGGAAATAAGAGTGGGCGTGGCGCCCCCCCCCCCGCGCTTTAACCCATTCCCCTACAACGGCCCCCATCAATTCGCGAACGAAAAAAAGACTATCACATGTGTAAGTGGGCCACTCCCCATTGGTTGACGGCGGCCTGGGCGTGCGCTCGCGTCAATCTTGACATCACGGGAATGGATTGGTTCTACCACCTTTGAGCTTTTGTGAGCTTTTTGATGTTGATTACAGTTCGCCTTGTTGTTGTCATGCTTGTTGTTTGCTGGTTGTTGCTCTTTGTCTTTGTGTGGGCAGCGACCATCGGTAACGAATGAACGTAAGCGCACCGCACCTACCCGTAATCTCAGAAGAGGATTTTGTGTATACCTCTGTCACATCCGCAGTCTGTGGTCAGCAGAAAGTTCACTCAACAATGGCGAGCGAGTTTTTCGGGTTGTCCTCATGCACCTGTCTTCTGTTGAAGTGAAACTGGCGACGTGTCGAGCGCTATGTGCTCATGGCTCTTCACAGTAGAAACTAACCCCGTGGCAATATTGAGGGCATTTAAAAAAAGTGGGATAACCTCCGAGATCAGAGGGAGGTGGGGGAGAGCTACGACTCGTATAAAACCCCGTCGCAATGGTGTGCTTTGGCGGGGCTAGTAGTGAGTAACCAAAAATATTCCAATAATCCCAATTAAAATCTCTTTTACCAGGCCGTGAATACTTATTTCGGCATGCGTATGGCGCGTGCTGGAGTTTTGCGAGCCGTAGTAGTTACTAGTATAGTATGGTTGTTGATTGATGTTGTGGTATTATTCTATTACCTAGATTCTGGTAGCTCATCAGGCACACGAAATAGACAAAGGTAAGTGCCCTGATAGCCTTTTTTCAGAGTTTCTAAGCTTATTTTTCATGCTGTGTAAAAGTTTCTCAATTTTTCTGAAGGAAATGAAAATGAAAGGAATTCAGTATTGTTTTCCAGTGTTCCTCTTCGTGCGGAACGCCTATCATTAACAGACAATCGAGTACCCTTATCACGAGCTTCTGGAGAATCCGAGAAGAAACAGGTTACTAGAGTTGTGTGGATATTATGAAGTCGAGAACAAAGTTTCGCAACACGAATAGTGCATTTTCGGAAATTTTTCTTTGGCTGAAATATTATTTCAGTCAGTGGTGTAATTCCATTGCTACAGATGACCTTAGATCATTTCGTAGGTAATTTGACATTGCAAAAGGTATGGAGGAGGGAAAACTCACCCGTGCGCGTAAGCGGCGCGTTTTTTTACGTCACCGCGACGGCAGGGCGAAGCGAGAGGCAAACTCCGCCACTGTGCTCCAATGAGCAGCCACTTTTATGTGGAAGGGAAAAGAGAGAGAAAAAAAGGATTCACCAAATAGTGGACGCTTACAGGTGAATTAGTGGTAGTGGTGAGCAGAGGGCGAAAGCGGGGAAATAGTCCTCTTCGATTGCGAAATGGAAAACGACGCGAACAGCTCTTAGGCAAACGTTATAAGATGGGGACGACGAAGGTTTGACAGCTGGTTGTGACCTTATGACCTTATAACTCTTTGTTTCCTCTTTTTCCTTCCACATAAAAGCGGCTGCTGACTGGAGCACAGTGGCGGAGGCGCAGGCCATCGCCCTTCGCTCCGCCCTGCCGCCGCGGTGACGTCAAAAAACCGCGCCGCACGCGCATGGGTGAGTTTTTCCACGGAAAGGCGGGATCCTGAAGAGTACGTTGCATGGCGATTACTGACACGGCAAACCAAGTTACTTCTTTAAATTCAAAAGAAATGATAGCCGTGCCCCGTTCACTTGTAAGACGCACAACGGAGTACTTCTCAGCCTCATACTGAAGTGGAGAAGGCACCAATCTGTCGATATTGAGGGAAGCTGTGCAGCTTCTCACTCTCTCTATATCACGTCTAAACATGTGCATAAGTGGGCGAACTCTTTCCGACGTGATAAATCTGGGGAATCGAATGGGAAAGGGAGGGTAGTGTAGCTCCGAGGTGCTTCGATGAACGTCGATGGCGTTTGCTGCATTCTACTAACTCTGTGTAGTCTCGCGTTTATTTCGACATGGTCGCAGTTGGCTGCGGTGACGAAGAAGTTCAAAGACGAATGGCTTGCAAATAGAATGTTCTTATGGTGGCATCAGTATTGTGTTAGTTTTACGTTTCTGCTTCGAGTAAAAGTCCTCGAATGTGGTTTCAAACCTACGAACAAGTGTTGTAGAGTCTCGGTAAGAGGGCGCAGACGAGCAAATAAGACATGACGTGATCGCAGAGCTTCTATGAACCAAATATTCTCTCAATGTGAGGGTCCAGAGGTGTTTGCTCATCGCATCATCTAACCAAGTAGTTGGAGGAAGGAAGATGAGGAAGAGGGTAGTGAGGAGGAGGAAGGATAGAGAAGGAAGGAAGAAGGGAAAAGTGGGGAGCAGAGGGGCTTCGAGATTGACAGATATCCTGGTAGGGGCATGACATGAAGCGACCAGTCGCTGCATGGGCCCCTCAACACCAATAGCATCTGTGCTCCACTTTCTGTTAATTTCCGAGTATCCAGTAGCATAGATATTTGAAGGGGCTGGATATTCAAAGAGATTTTTGAGGGGTGGGGGTACCGTTGAAGATATGTTAAGCTTTAAATAACGGGGATATCTTCTCTCCGCTTCATTAGCACTGTCAAATTAATAGCAGAACACTCTTTAGGTTATTGATGCTCCACGTGCCAAGCTGTTGCCGCAAGGCTCATCCACTCTTGATCCTGCAGTGCAACAAAAACTGAACAAGCTTTTGAGCTGTGAGTAGCTAGTTATGATATTCTTCTGTTTTCATTAGTACTCTGTTTATGGCTAGGTAAATTTGCGTTGTTTGAATAGCGAAAAAGATATACATGCTCAAGAACTATTCACTCGACGCGAGTGGAGCGATGCTTCTAATCTTTGCAGCCCATCAACTGGCCTTAGACCCGTTTGAGTTACGGCTTGTAAATTCATCCTTGTACAGTCCTCATCATTACGGACTGTCGGGGCGGCACAGCCGCGCTGCACTGTGACGCGACAGCGGCTGCGGCGAATCAGCTGATTTCGATGGAATTCGGCTGCAAATTCCCACTTTTTCAGCTCTTCAAGCTTCTAAAGTGGAAGGTGAGTTATTCTGACCAATTTTGAATTGTACTGACTCTGAATGAATCTGAAAGAATGTAAGCCATTTGAATAAATGCCTGAAATAAGGCAAAATACAAGGAAAAGAGCATAATAATCGACATAAAAATAAAGGAAATCAGAGCCAGTGCAATTCAAAAT